TTCCACATTGTTATCTTCAGCAATACATATGGCAACATGTGTTGTCAAAAAAATTGAAAATATTCCTGTGGTTCCTGCAAATTTTGAAAATGTACCTATTTTTAATCCAGATAATATTGAATATTCATTAATTAATTCAAAACTTATTAATGATTATAGAGGAATTTTTGATAAAAGTTATATTGTTGTGAAGATACAATGGGTTAAAGATAAAATGATTGATGATAAAAAATTTGATCGCATTGGGCTTTTATTAGTCCATATGTATAATGAAGATATTGAAGAAAAGAAAGAAGAAAGATCTATGGAATCAGTGAAAATAATTAATGTGAAGCAGCAAAGCCTTCGTTCCTTGGAAGATTATTTGTCAGCAATAAAAATGATAGCTAGCATAAAAAGTTTATCAGAATATATAAAAAAAAAATGTAATACCTGTAATAGCAGACTATCCAGGACAGCTTTTTATTAGAAAGGCTATTACATTATATTTAAATAATCAATTAAATATAAATGATATTGATTGGATACAAAATTTTGTTCCAATGTTAGGTCCATTACATATTTCCTTGAACTCGAGAGAATGTGTTGTTCTTATATATTATTATTTCTTCAAGAAATTATTTTGTGATGTATTTGAAAAGAAAAAATTTGCAAAAAAGCCCAAACGATGGCGAATTAATCTTCTTCTCCAATTAGTTCATGATGCATGGTTAGGAATTTCTGAGGATATATTAAAAAAAATTCAAAAAATTAAAGATGTTGAATATAGGATGATGATTGATCTACTAGATAATATTATACCAGCAACCTTAGATATATACACTATTCTTTTTCGATGGGCTTTTGAGCAATATCTTGAGACAATTTTCCATATCTGGATGTTTTTTTTGAGATGGAGAAGAAAAAATTATAATAAGATTCCTCTTGCATTTTTATCCGACTACTTTTATTGGAAAAAAAATAATCACCCATTTGCAAAGTTATTGGAGAAATCATTAGTAAATTTTAATGATTATTTTGTTGAGAATATACATAGCAAAATAAGAGCACAAACCAATAAGTTTTCATCACCTGAGTCAATAATACAAGAAGCTTTTCTTATTGATTCTTATAAAAAATCACCATTTGTTGATGCTTTTTCCAAAATAAAAAATATCCATATTCACCAGCACAATTAGATTATCTGACTAAAAAGACAAGTTGTTTTCTAAATAGAATACTTTTTTGACATTTATAAAAATTTGGATACAAGTAAGCCACATCATAGAGGGAAAAAATTAATTAGTTATAAATTAAGCACTCTAGATGAAGAGGTTGATTTAAAATTATTACCTACTGGATTTCATACAGCACATCCACCAAAAAAAGATCTGTGTGATCATTGTGAAAAAGCATTTGGTCCAAATTCCCCAGATACCGATGGATGTGTATTGATTTGTGGTCATAGTTATCATTATAGATGCTATGAAGATTTAGAAAAAGTTGTGAACATTGTATGGAATTTTACAAAAGAGGTGTTTTTGAAAACGTTACATCATTTGTATCCTGATTAGAAAAATTATCTGACAATGTAGTTGAACTAGAAGATAATGAAACTAATGAATCTGATGGGGATGGTGATAGAGATGGTGAAGATGATAATTCAATTAATATAAACGAAGAACATATATGTAACTTGTTTTTAAATTTAAAAAATGAAATAAAAAATTGGTAGAATTTATCTGTAATAAATATTTAAATAGAGAAAATAAAAAATTGTTAGAATTTATCTGTAATAAATATTTAATTAATAAAAATAAAGAAAATAATTATTGAATACATATTTAGAGGAAACTACCTTACTAATAAAGCTTCATGAGTATTGGTGTTATCTTGATTAGATCGTAATTAACCCTCCTACTCTCTTAATAATGTATCTAATTATATGGTGTTTTTTAAAGAAGTAATAATAAAAAATAAATAAAAATATATGTAAAAACTACTATGTGAGTTAAGTCACTTCTAGTAAATCTTTTTGGATATTAACGTTATCTTGATTAGATCGTAATTAACCATGCTCCTCTCTTGATTTAATAACTAGTTACAAAGTTTATTTAAAAATTATATCATGAAAAAAAAAATTATTCATTGAATTTTATTATAAAATTATTTCATTGCACAGTATAATTTTGAGATCGTCACAAAGTGACAAATGTGATAAAACAAAATTCCACCATACTTTTATATAGAGAGAAATATAAGAATGAATCCATTCTATTTTCTCAATTTTACATGAAACTTATCAAGAACTAGGGAAAAACTAAAAGAATATCAGAATCTTGATGCGAATGAATTGTGGATTGTTCAAACTTTTTTTTCAGAACTTTATTGGGACTGGACTGGAGAGAGGTGATTAAATTATGTTCACCTTCATAAGATTCTTCATCATAATAACCAACAAATTATCAATATTTAAGAAAGCAAGTTTACAATAGAATGGATCCATTAGACAGTTATCATATCACATTTGTAGAGAAATATAAGCATGAATCTGCTTTATTTTACATGTAATAAAAAGAAATTCCATGTTAATCTTTATACAACAAGAACTGGAGAAAAGCTAAAAGAATAAATTGTGGAAATCAACTTTTTTTTTTAGGACTTTATTGAGACTGGAACTGAAAGAAGGTAATTAAATTATATTCACATCCATAAGAGATAATTGATGATTTTAAAATAATAATTCTAATTATATTATTCAAAAACCTTATTATGTCTGCTCAACTGTTATATTATTATCTTTCAACAAATTATTATATTTTTTAAATATAATAATAATAAAGTTAATAACACTAAAGAAAATATATGATAATTATAGTGATAAATTATAATTTACCAAATTATAATGCTTCAGACTTCAATAGGTAATAAATCAATTTAGTTGTATCTCACCATTCTCTTGCATTTAACCCATAATGTGAATGTGGTTTTATTTCACCAAAAATTTTACAATTAAAGTAGGCATTTTGCCATTTTAAATTTCTATAATTAAAACTGATTCAGTATTCTGTCTATTAAATAATTTTCTATGTTATTTCACACAAATTATAAACCAGTATGTATTAAATTATGTAATAGTATGTATTAAATTGTCATAGATTTGTGTTTGTATATGAAATATGTTACATAACAAAATAACCTTTCATTGGAATTCTAGAATATCTATGTTTTTTGAAGAAGGTATTGGACAGATATTGGCCTTGTACAAATTAAAATTAGACTGATTAGTAATATTAATTCTACAAATTTTAATCTTGTTAATTGTTTGTCAATTAGAAACTATTAATATGATGATGATAATTTTCTAGATATTTAAGAATATAGTGCAGGTTGTCCAATGGGGCAGACTGCAACAAAATCAGACAAAGTGAACATAATACTACAAAGAAATTTCAGGGATCAAATTTAGTCATTTGTAATGTGATCATAATTAATATCCCATTGTTATCTTAATTCGTGATTTGTGATACAAATGCTCAAAAATTTGAAAATTAATTAGTAAATCAGTAAATTGTGGGGATATTAAAACATAAATTCAAAACATGTCAAAATCTCAACTCGCTTACTATACAATTGTGTATTTATTCTACATAATTATGACTAAAAGTAAAATATTTGCTCCTACACTTATTTCTTGTGGTCTCATTATTCCTGAATTACATTTTGGACCTTTTTCATGTAATTGGTGGTTGGAAATAATTACTGACAATGGGCAAGAATCATTTCCTATATGCGTAGGAATGTCAATAGTAACAGAATTAAATGGTCAAAATTCACTGTACATGTTTTTAAAGGTAGTGAAGGTCGGCCAGGATATATTTGAGAGTCTGGTGAAGAAAAAGATCATATAAGTAATGCTCTTAATGCATTATATCAAAAAATTAAAAAAAAACCAAATATTCTGGAGTGAATGAATTTGGTTTAGATAATCTTTTAATATTGGAAAAACATCTAGATGGTGTATTATAGGAAATAATGACACTTATAATGCATGAAACTTCCAGAATTCTGATTTTTTCCACTGTGATGTTTTAAATTTAAAAGAAGGATAAGAATATTCCTAAATATATAATAAAAACCATATAATCTAATGATCATGATATATTAATGTTAATTTAGACAATGTATAAAGACAAATTTCCACTTAAATTAGGATGTGCAATTAAGGGGAAACAAAATTTGGAAAAAAAGGTTGTGGAAAAAATAATTGTAGATTTTCTTAAAACCTACTTTCATTCTGGTAATTATGATAAAAGCCAAAGATACACACCAGGAACTTGTTGAAGAAGCAAATAATAATAATAATTTTACACTTGGACAAATTCTAAAAGTAGAAATCATTTGAAATTGGATATCCAGATGTTCATCTGCAATGAAAAAAGATATCTCTGATAAAATGTTGGAAAAAGTAACGTTAAAGATAATAGAGACTATTTTATATTTATATTTAATAATAAAAATAATTTCTCATAGTAAATATTCATATTATTTAAAAAACTTACATGTATACATTAGCATAAATAAATAGTCTTGCTTCACTTCATTCATGGACTGTTGTTTTAATAAAAATAATAAATTTTATTTTTATATAAAATCCGTGAAACAATGAGATAAGTATTTGAGATCATATGATTTAATATTCTGTGTAATACTAATCATGTGTGTTGGTAAAAAAAATTTGGAAGTAACCACTTTGATAGTGACGATCCCCCAAAATTTACTGATTGTGTTGTCTACTACTTCTATCGCGGATCACGAATTAAAAAATTTTTGGTGTTTATCATCTGCCATCTAAAATCATACACTAGACCAAAAAATATACCTAAAAAAACTATCAATTAAACTAATAGTTATTTTTTTTACCTATGGCGGGTATGAGTGTTTATTAAGTACCTCTCACCTTACTTTTTTAGTTCAATAACAAGTAAGACCGTTAGAACGCTATAATTAATATTAAAATTATGTCTTATGTTACAACAGAACTTATTTCAGAAAACCAAGAAGAACCCAATACTTTTCAAGAAGCAGAAGAACTTGAAGTAGACACTGAATTGATTTCTGAAGAGTTATTATTGACTAGTTTATCAGAAAGCTCATTTGGTATGTACACGTGTATATTTTATATTAACTAGGTGCTGCTGGTCTATAAAATGTCAAGGAGGGAATTATCAAAAGGGGAATGTGAGAGGCTGAGAAAAGACGTAAATTCTTTTTTTTGGATTTGCTTATAGAAGACGACATGGAAGAAGAACTTCTGATAGATGAAACATTATCACCACTTGAAAAAATATCTTTATATGTAAGAAGTGAATTAGCATTTCATAGGTAAGCAAATAATATTTTATACATTGATTTTTTGTTTTAAAAAAAAAATAATTGCTTATTGACGCTGACAGACAAAAATAATATTTTTTTTGAGAGTGTTCATTGCAAAAGAATTTCCAGCATTAATAAGGGATGTTGAAGTCAGTGAGGCCTTAGAATATGTATTACCATTAATTATTTCTCTAGGAACCGATCCAGGTTGATTAATTGATTGATTGTGTTAGGTACTTTTCGCTCTGGATACCCTTGATTTCGCATTTTACAGTTGTCAATTTTCAATTTACTGCATTTTGTTAGAGGACCATGTTAAAGAAGCTTTCGCTACTCAATTGGATGATATCATATGGTTTTATTATTCTGTAAGTGTTTTCATTATATAATAACAAAAAATAATAATTTAAATATATATGTATAGTGTATATTCAAAATAATTATTAAATATTTTAAATGATATTGTTATTGTTGTTGTTTTGTTTGCTTGTTTTATCATTAAATAGCATTGTACACTCAGAGAAGCTGCAGATTGTTCACCAATTGACATAGTGGATTTAAGACCCCCAACAACTCAAATATCGCAAACTCTCCAAAGACCACAGACACCAATACAACATTATAATTCGCAACAAACATCATCTCAAACACCATCTCCGGCTAATAACACTCCGTATTTATCACCTTCTGCCTTTACTTTTTTACTCCGTGCTCTTCTTCTTGATCAAAACACGAGAATTGCACAAGCAGCTCAAGCTACAATTCAGTCGCTTGTTGAACGGGTATTAGAGGAACTTGGTGTTAAATCCAAAAAAAAAGACTTATTAGAAAAAGAAATATTAGAAGGTGTCGTTCTAGGCATTGGCAGATTAGATCAAGAGAAATTTAGAAAGGAAGAAATAAATGAATGGGAACATTATGGTGATGAACATGGTGTTAGCACTGTGTCTGGTAGGGAAGAAGAAGCAGAATTGGGAAGAATTACAATGATGTCTGTATGTATTTTTATCTTTAATAATAATTTGTTATTTATTATCTTATGAACTTTTATATATATGCATACATTTATATACAGTTAATATCTTCTTTGGCACCTATCGTTGGACCAGAAAGATGTACTCGTTTATTTTTGCCAGAATTGGAAAAAATGATCAATG